TCTTCAGGTCCTCCAGCTGTGCTTTCGAATTGGTCAGAGGATTGTCCGAGCGACTGAGCCTTGGATGAGCCGCCTTCTTCGGGAGGAATCAGCTGAGGATTTGTTCCTCCACCCGTCTGACCTGTACGTCCTACTTGCACATCTGCACCAGGAAATTCGCCGAGGCCGGACTCGTTCACTGTGGGAGGGGTGGAACAAGGAGGATGAGCAAACAGTTCGTGTAGATGACTGGTGCACGCAAGTCGTCTGCTGTTGCTGATGCGTAGGAAGCTAATGCAATCTACAGCACCTCAAAAGGCAAAAGCAAAGCACGACATCCAAGACTCACCACCAGACTGCTCGGAGAGGACAGTGTTTCTAGGATTGTACTTGTCCTTGGTAAAGTTGGAGTCCTTGCTGGACAGGCTCGCAACTTGCTCCTGAATGATCTGCTCATTGCTCTTGCCTGCGTATTCTTCCGACATGATGGGCAGAGTGGGGGTAGGGGGCTCAAAGATGATTCGTACCGGTCTGCTTGAGTAGGCTGAGTTGTTGTGGTGCTGAAGGAGATGTCGTGGGTCAGGACACGTCATCTACTTTCATTTAAGTCGACGCCGATGACATCTGCTGCGAGCTTTTTTCGAATCACAGAACACCTCGCTTCACCTTCTCGACACATCGCTGCATCTTGACACCACTGTTGACAGTGACTTCTGCTGCAAGCGAGAATCGGCCGACCCAACTCGTCGACGTCACACGAGCCGTGCACTTCGTTCAGTCTTGCTTGTGCGTCACACTCGTGACTCGCAGCAGTGAATTAGCGTCATCTCTTTGCGGCGGTCAGTCCTAAGAATCACGCAAGACATAAGTGGAGCTGAATCTCCAACGGTCACCGTGTGAATACCGGAAGGTCAGCTGCCGTGATCTCGCTGCCGTGCGCAGGGTCCAGTTTGCAAAGATGCTGATCGTGTTGACGCGTCTATCGCCTCGACGCGCAGTCTGATCGGCTCGAGCAGCAGCCCCGATCAAAGGCTGCAGCGACAGCTATGTACAAAATGCAAGGTGCTTCGCGGCAGAGCTAGTCAGAAGATAAATCTCGATTCCTCACGTACCGTCAAGCGCTCGGCTCGCTCTACGATCATGCGGTTCGAAAATACCAGGCGGCGCCCACGTCATCATTGCCAAAGCAACCAAGGAGGAGAAACAAATTTCTGCGAGGAGACACGGTCATCACTTTGAGCCATTAAGAGGCAAGAGTCACACAATGACATTTCGTTTGAAAAGTCGAGGCAACTATCCGGTTTACGACAC